TATATATATATATATATATACGTACACGAATCTATGTACACAAATTTATCGAACAAGCGACACGATTCATCGTTCTTATACTCGGCGATATGTATCCTCCCCGAATTCTCGTCACGGACCACCAACAATCATCCTCTTGGGATAAATTCAATTTCACAGAAATTAACGCGAGAGAATCTCGGCCATCTACCGTTAACTCGACGAATTCTCTCTTCCCTCAAAGGTCTCTCGATTTTCCGCCCCGTTTCGAACGCTTTCGATCTCTAAACGGAGGACGCGGCGCGATCCATGTTGCAGGGCGGGGAGTGGTGCTGGACAGTCAGGGGCCTGTGTTGATCTCGGAGCCACGCTCCTCGGTCGAATTCTCGAACGAGACCGGGGCCATGATCCATTGCTCGGCCCAGGGCAGCCCGTTGCCGAGGATTGATTGGCTTATGGGGGACGAGTCGCCTGTCCTCCCTATACCTCACATACGCGAGATGCTGGTCAACGGTTCCATGTACTTTTTGCCGTTCGGAGCGGAGACCTACCGACACGACGTCCACTCGGCCGTCTACAGATGTCAAGCCTCGAACAGCGTCGGTAGGGTATTGGGCCGTGAAATCACGGTAAAGGCCGGTGAGTACCTTTATTTCTTCACTTCCGACCGATTGACTTCTTTCCCCTCCCCCTTTCCAACAACCTTTTTTCCTCTCCACTAGTCGTTTCCTTTTACTTTCACTAGCTATGATTCTTCTTATTCCTGTTTTCTTCCTATGTTTCTTTTTTTCCCCTCCCTCCCTCCTTTTTTTTTTTTAATGCAAATTTCGCACGAAATGGCGCACGAGGATAACGAGCACGCTTATTTCCCGCGATATCGCTAAGCGACCATCGTTTGCCACTACTTGCAGGGAAGTGCAAAATCGTTTGGACAAAGATCCTCCTCCTCCTCCTCCTCCTCCTCCTTCTTCTCCTCTTATTCCTCGGACTCGGTAGCGTAGAGAAACCGCGATGGAGTAATCTGGGGAAAAATTGCCGGAGAATGTTTCCGGGAGAGTATCGTGGCTCGCAATTACGCCATTGAACGAGCTACCCCCCTCTCTTACCTACGAGTTTAGCGACGAGTCATGTTTCATCGGTGTCGGCCGGTGGACATTTATACGCGCCTCGATTCCGTTTTTTTTCTCACCCTTCAACTATTTCATCGCGGAATTTTTTTCGGGAGTACGTTAATCGCGTTATCTCACGCCGTAGATATCGATCCTTTTTTCGCAACGAGAAGCAGAAGGATGATCGAAAGAGGGCGGCGCTCACTGCCAAGACCGTGATCCGATCTTTTCATCTCCTTGTTTCCTTGGAGACGCGATGGAGGCGGACAAAATGGACAAGGAGAAACGCGAAAACTCGAAAGATTTCGTTCCCTTTGCTTTTNCCCCCCCCCCCCCCCCCCCCCCCCCCCCCCCCCCCCCCCCCCCCCCCCCCCCCCGCGGCGGAATCGAGGGACCTAACTCAAAATCACTTATCGCGTTTACCGGCACGTGAATGGAGGGAATTTCTGGAAAGAATCGCGCGGAGTTGCATTCTGCGCGACGATGGAGAGAAGGGGGTGTAGATTGTACGTGAGAGGCGGAGAACGAGAGGGAGGCACTAATTACCGAAAGCACGGGTCGCAGACTGAGGTTGAAAAGCGGCGTTGTTCGCGAGCAGAATAACGTCTCTGTAATAGAAAATGCGTAGTGCATTATATTGTTATTGGAGTTAACGACGAGGAGAGGCTCGTGCTCGTGAGGATATCTGGATCCGTAAGCTGTTCAGCTTTCGCCGTTCCTCTTGTGCGAATATCGATGTCTGGGTAAAAAACCGGTAGAATTTAAACAATAATCGCGCTGAAAACGAGCAACCAAGAACCAAGTCGAATCCGTATATAAATTCTCGGGAATCCAAGTTCTTTTTTTTTTTGTTCTTTCCTCCTTTCTTTTCCCCCTTCCCTTTCCTTTTTTACCTTTTACTTTGACATTTTCCTTCTGATTATGCAATTTACTTTTTTCTCCCTCCCTTTTTTTTTTTTATTTCATTACGTTACTCCGCGAAAAGGCGAGAGAGGATTGTTAACGCCATTATCGTTCCTTTCCTCGGAAAGCTGACGTCACAACCTTTTCTTTTTTTTTTTCAGTCGTGCGTCAAAAGTACGAGGTTCAAGTGCGAGACGCCTACGTCCTACCTGGAAATACCGGTGTGCTCAGGTGCGAAATACCGACTTTCGTTAAGGAATACGTGGCAGTCACGTCCTGGGTTCGAGATTCTGCCTACAACATCTTTCCAACGCCGAAAAGCGGTGAGTCGAAATATCGCGATAAATTTGCCACCCGTTCGAAAACGGGATCAATTCGTTTTTTGTCAGAAATACATTTTTTACCCATCGAATTTTTATCTTCATTTTTATTTATTTTTATCTATTCTCTTTCTTCTTCCGATTTTAACCATTTCGATTTATAATTGATGGAACTCGTTAACGCGAATGATGTTCACCGTCCAATTGAGATGGTTCAACGGACAACTAATTCACGCATCATCGATATCGAGACAATGGTGGAACGTAGGAACAAAGGGATATTTTTCTCGGGACGGAATAAAAGCGATTCGGCACGCGTTCGAAAAGGGCCCTTATCGTATCGTGTATATACCGATGTCACGTCTCGGTGCGCGTGATTGCCAAGTTTTTGACGTTTACATCCCTCCCCCGCGCTGCTGTGAAGAGGGACGTAAAAATGGCGTACCGATAAAAACGTAGGAGTCTGATAAATTGGAGCCACTTTTTTGCCCGCTTTTTCCCCCTTTCCTCCCCCTCCCCGTCGTTTGTGTTTGTACCGCGACCGAACACGCGCGCGAAGCAAAAAGCCCCACCGCATGTGCACACACGCTGATATAAGCCGCTCTGGTCAATATCCGAGTTAATTAGAGTCTGAGGGGGCCATTCGAGTATCCGCGTATATACGCATTAACGTGTGGCCGCCCCCTTCCTGCACACCCTAAGCCCCGCATGAATTGTGCGGTGTATTACACGTGGGAAAGAAAAAAGAGGGATGGGGAGGGGGAGGAGGGAGGGCCATTCGTCCCATAGCGCATATGCAAGAATTTTTACGAGTGAACGTACGAGGGAAAGATTCGAAAAGGATCCAAATCGCGATGACGCGAACAATAGTTTTTTTTTTTTTTTTCAAAATCGTTCTTTGGGATCGGTTGACGAAGATAGTTGGAACCTCTTAGACGAAAGAGAGAGAGAGAGAGAGAGAAGGAGAATCACGAAATTACGTAGTAAACGAAGGAAGTTTGAACGAAAGGAGAAAAGCTGTTCGTTTGATCACAAACGAGCGCTGATTGAATGCGATTCCCGTTAAATTTTACGACTTTTATCTCATCTCTTCTCTCTCAACTTCTCTCTACCCTCTGATCCTAATCGTAATGCGTTGGCAGAAATTACCGATTTGACGCATAATTGTTTGCCGAAAGTAAGTTTAGTTCAGAGAAATAACGCGCGTTTATTATATCTTCCGTCCTCTCTCGCTGTTTTTTTTTTTTTTTTTTTTTTCACCCTTTAATTCGTATCTTTTTTCTCTCTCTCGTCCTCGTTCCTTATCCCTTCGAGTCTTCCTCGTTTTCGAAGGTTCCGCTGAAAACTCGATAGTTTACTCGCCTCTGCCTTCGTTCCCTCTCGAACGGATTATACCGAATAAACGAGAAGTTTCTCGCGTCGACTGATCTGCACGCGACTAAAAACTTTTCCGAGTGATTCGTTTCCCATTCAGACGCGACCGTCTCCTCTCTTCCCACGCCCTTCCATTTCCTCTTCCATCGTAAGATTGGATTTTCCTTGCCCAGACGTCGCCCCCTACGACGATACGATCGCGCTATTCGATTCAATCCTGACGTTTGCCGTCAAACAATGCGTGCAATTAGACTCTCGTTGCACGAAGTGATAAAGTGACATAATAATATTTCGAGGAATTAAATGATTATCGGTTAATAGGAAAGAAACGCCTCTTATAAATAGGAATGACGTTCGTGGAACGACGTGGAATGATAGCTGTTTAGATTTCGAGTGGATTTTGGAAAATGGAAATTGCTCGAGTACGGAGAGTTTTAAGAGCTGTGGCGGAAATTGGGAATTTCGGTCGAAGTTGGACGAGAGAGTATGAAGGAGAGTTTTGTAGTTAGAAATCGGTCTCGCGATACGAAGGTTATAGTTCGAAATACAGACGTGCTACTCCGTCGAGTCTTATCCGTGTCTCTCTGATACTCGTTTCTCATACTCTCTTTGCTCGACGACAATTTCCTAGTGGAGGAGAAATTTGACGAGGATCTAGCTACTTGGGTTATAATAGACCGGTTCGACAAATTCGAACGATATCCTTTAATAAAGGAGGAGGATCCTCTCTAATCGATTCTTCCTATATTCTTTCGCGAGTCTTCTTCTTTTTTCTTTTTTTCTTTTATCGACGTTACTCGATAAAAAAAACTGGTTAATACAAAATTTCTCGAAACGTATCACGATTACATTGGATATATAAGGTGGAGATTCGAGGAATAAAAATTAGGGGAAATATCTCCATCGTTTCTCGATTATATCCCGAGACCAGGTCACGAGATATCGACCACTAGTCGCGACTTTAATAATTCTTTCGCGATATCAGAAAGTCGTGATAAGATTTCTCCGCCCCGGTGGCCGATCCCCTTTCGATAGAAGCGTGCAACTCTCTTCACCGATTCTCGATTTCCTTCACCGCTCTTGATTTATTCGTTGCATCGAAATGCATCTATTTTCAGCCTCGTTCGAGAGGAGCTCGTCGAGGATCAAGGATCAAGGTTCAATTTTTATCGATTTCGTTCGTTAATTCAACGCAACGACTCTCGACGTACGTATTCCCTGTACGGTGAGAGAGAGAGAGAGAGAGATAGAGAGAGTATCGACGAGGGTCTCTCCTCGAGGATTAAAGTGCAGCGAACATCGGGGGCATGTAGATGCAGATAGTCGAGAGACTACAGTGCAGCTCAAACACGGCGTCCGGCCACAATGCAAATTCGCCTCGGGAGGGAGGGTTGATCTCCCAACTATCTTTTGCCAGTGCACCCTTCCTTCCCTGACCCTGCTTTTCTCCATTTCCACTGTCGATGAGAATTGTCTATCGCTTTTTTATTTTGTTTTTTTTTTCTTTTTTTGAAGGACTTCCTCCTCCCCTTCGACACCGTATTCGTCGTATTTCATTCATCGTTGATTCGCTCGCATCTCGACGATCGTTCGATTTAAATGGATCCCGCGCAGAAAGCAGTTACATCGGGATAATTATCGAGACGGAGCCAGGCGAGTTAGTTAGTGGGGAGGGAAGAATTGTACGAATTCTCTGTGTACGAATTCTTTGTCCCCCGTTTCCCTCCTCATCGATCGAATTTACGATTACGAATTACGATTTTCGTCGTCAAAGTTTTTCAAGCTAAACTGTTTTTGTTTTCTCTCTCTCTCTCTCTCTCTCTCTCTCTCTCTCTCTCTCTCTCTCTCTTTTCTTCGACGTCTCGAAGGAAGGTTTTAACGCGAAGAAAAATGTTGTTATCCGATTCAGATTTCACACCGCGTAAATCGAAGGGAAAACAGTTCATGACGTTCGGTGTTTGTACGCGGCGTGCAAGCCTGAAGCTACGCCGGAACGATATCGCAGTGATAACACCTCCCGGCTGTTTTCATTCACAACACTCGCCGGTTCAGAGACTTTCGCGACTGCTAGACAAACCTCGAAAGTTATTCGTTTGTAAACTTTTCCGCCCAAATCCGGGCTTGACACTTCTTCGTTCTTAATACGCCGATTGATCAATTTTCGATCATCGTTTCTTTTTCTCTTTCTCTCTCTCTCTCTCTCTCCTAAATTCTTCTAAATATCTATTCCCATTAATTAGTTATTACTTGTACAGCGTAATAAATTTCATTACGAAACGAGAAAAGAATTGAAACGTGGCAAATTTTCGCTTCCTCTTCTTTTCCGGGATTCGGGTTCACTTAGGCGACTTTACGACAAATTTTTCAGCGGGGATCTCGTGGAGGATCGCAGCCGGTAAATAGCCGATGACAGTTTGCAGTTCGAACAGCTTAAAACGAAAGTTTTTCCATGGCGAGGGTCGGGTCTTTCCGGAGGGGGGAGGGGAAAAGTTTGCCAGAATCGTGGAGGAATAACAGGGTCGCGCGAGAAACGAACGCGTCGCCTAAGAGATATCGATTTTATCGCGACGAACTTTGCCCGCATCGGTTTTTCCCACCAAAAAAACCGCGCTTCTACGCGGTGTTGTCTCCTAAGGACGATCCTCGACGATTTTCAAAAATCAATCGGCCAATCGATTGGATGGAAGTCGGAGCTAGGTTTTTTAACAAATCGAGATCGATTTTTTCCCCCCTGCGAGCGAAGTTTTGCGGAGAAGATCATCGATCCGATCTCGGACTATTTTCACGATCACGCATCCACCGAGCGCAGTCGACGGCCCGGGTTTAATCCGCGGAACGTTTGGCTGAAAGGCGAGTTCGAATCGAGAGGGAGAAAGTTGGCAATTCTTGAAATGCACGGAGGGGAAAAATGAATTTTTTCCTTCGAATCGCAGGGAATTCGAACAATCGCCCTATCCTCGGAAACGATGGTGATGGACTTGGACGTGATTCCGTTGAATGCGCGGTGAATCGTTGAGCGGAAGCTGTCGCGGCAGGAGAAAAGAAAATTTATACGAGGGAAGTTGGCGCGAGTTTGAACCGCGCGCCAGATTCATAACTCCGATAACCGAACGACGAGGAGGAGATCCGTCGTTGATTTATCGCGATGCGCAACTCGAAAAAGCGTCCAACGATTTTCCTCGAAACCGAGAATGATCCGTGTTGAACGCAACTCCGGAGAACGACTATCCCCGGGTTGGAGTAAAGTCGAGCGTTTTCATAATAATCGAAGAAAATCGAATATCGTGTATCATGCGGCAATAAGATTCGAGTATTCTTATCATTTTACTCGTAAAATATTGTACAAGCTTGATCAATAATAACAAGGTGGAGTAAACTATTCGAGTTTAAGAACTCGATGATCGCGAAAAACTTGACAGATTGTTTGATCCGATCTAGCTTATCGCGGCCATCCCTTAATATCGAAATGCAAGAGGGGACGAAACAAAAGGTACATAGATGTACACTATATTTACTACGCCGACTGACAATTTGCCGGCGTCTCGATATGTTCCAGTGGTACGTTAACGCGAGCACACAGACTGTCGGTATCCCTCTCTCATATCGGAACAATACGCGTTCACCTGGTATTTTCGCCAGGATTAAATACTCGAGCGACTAAAAGCGCTCGCCGCTGCTCGTGCATTCGTTCGCGTGCCATTGTATTCTCAATTTCGCGTCCCAGCCAGGGGAGAGGAACGAGAGAGGGAGAAGAAGGGAGAAGCATCCCCGTGCACCGGGGATGGTGGGGCGGAACGGACCAGTACCTCTCGTGAAACCGGTGCTTTTAGAATTATTACACCGGGTAAATGGCATTTCAAATGGTTAATGGGTATTAAAAAAAATGTTTCGTTTGACCCGGTACGGGGAATCCGCTGCCATCTCTATTCACGCGTGTTGCGCGCCGGCCAGAAATGATTCCTCCGGCGAGAAGGAGAACTCGCAGCGAGATTAAATTCCGCGAAATCGGTTCGAGCCGCATCATCCTCTCCCTCCTCTCCCTCCCTTCGCCGCGTCCCTTTTCGGGGGTGAAGAGCGGTCTCGCGCTCCATAGTCTCCACCAGCGAGAATACCATAGCACCGGCATCCTATTCTGCCTGTTCCGCGCCGCCGCGGTCGGCTTATTCGAGCATATTATTCCGCGTATGTACGTGGAAAAATATCCGCGTGGTCGAACCGGCTTGTTAAATCCTACGCCATCAGCCAAATAGACTTGCTAGTCTGTCGTTTCACCAACCTCGGTTTCATACCCCGTCGGAGTTGCGCTAGTAGTCCCTTTCTGCACCACTAGTCCATTACCCTTATTAGCGCGAAATTCCAGTGGCGAGGGTGAAACAAAATTTTCGAGGGGCGGGAAAGGAGAGTTCATCGTGGAGACACCGTCCTCTCGTTGAATCCTCTCGAAGGACGTTCCTCGATTCGAGGAACGAAAGGATGGATCGCGAGAAACGAGTTTATCGTATTTTGTGTTTCGAAAAGCCTCGATTCGAAGGACACAGTTTGATACCAAGTTCACCAAGAGGCGGGGAATAATTGCGGAACGTTCGCCCGCCCGGCTTTCGATACTTTCGATACTCGGTTATCGATTTTCCATCCGTTCGTAAGCTGTTGTTCGCGATACAGCCAGCCGATAAATTATTTCCACGAGTTTATGGAGAGCGACGGATCGATTAACTTGCGCGGTTTAACAAGTGGCCAACCAAATTGTTGTTGGACTTTTGTTTTCTTCTTTTCCTTTTTCTTTTCCTTTTTTTTTTTTTAATCGCGTCTGTTCGAGTTTCGTGAAATATTGCCAGTAGTCGAGTCGCCTGGCACGAGTCCTCGAGCAGCGTCATCAGCGGCTTTGAAAATTTCGAGATCTATATACACGACGATCCTCTTCCTTTCCCTCCTCCTCGAAGGAAACTCGGTTAACGAGTCGCGTAACGGCGCGTTTTTTCTCTCCAAAACGAGGCGTGAAACGTCTTCGCCGGTTAATGTGCTGGATAATAAAATTTCCGCACGGTGTCTGGCCGCGACGTAATGCAAATACGAGATGCGGCGAAATCGCGGCCCGTTGAGACATTTTTATAGAAAGCCTCCTCGTTTCCCCACCCCTATTTGGACTGGCGGAATCTCGCATCGAGGTTCAACCGCACTTATTATTTCCACCCTTACGCCACGGTTACTAACGCGTTTCAACGGCTGAAATTCCGAGCAATTTCCTCGAAGGATAATGCAATACAGGAGGGGAGGGTGGGATAGGTAATACGGGCGATGCAACGAACGACGAAATATTGACACTGGTGGTGCGCGAGCACTGGTGGAATCAACGGTGGCAGGAAAGCAGGGGGGAGGGGGAGGACGAGGGTGGACGAGAGAGGTCGGGACAACGAATATGAATACCGTATCGAAGCAAATGTAGTCGTTTATACATTCGAGGTGTGAACACACGGGCAAAAACATTTTCGCGCGATGCATTTTCTACCGCGTCACGCACGGCGACCCGCGCACACGCACACGCACGCAGGGCCAAGCTGCGTTGAAAATGGTCACGGAAGAAGGGAATTTACGTAATATATTTCGCGTCGGAGAAAAAAGCAGCGAAAAATAGCGGCTAAAGCGTTTTCCCTTTGTGCCGTGTCGCGTCGTGCAACGATTTCGCGTAATTTACATTAGAAGGCGCGGCCCGTATTTCGTCCCTCCCCTTTCCCACTCTTTCCCACCCTCCCGCGAATCCAATCCAAAATTTAGCCCGTGATATCGCGATACACGCGTCCGATCCTTTTCCCAGAAAATCAAACGTGTTTCGTTCGTTTAAAAAAAAAAAAGAAAAAAAAAACTTTCGAGAGAGTTTTCGATCTCGAAAAATCTTCTAATCTTCTGGTTCCGGTATGGAATCTGTGGTCGGTTCGAGTCACGATTCGAATATTTATCTCGCTTGTTGAGTTTTACTCGCACATCTCAATCAGGGACATTCGAGAGGGAGAGGGGTTGTTTCGACTAGTCGGTTCTGTGTTCCCTCGCTAATGGTTGTATTCAAGCGTATTAAGTTAACTCGAAACGAGTATGTTTGGAACATCATTTTCCTATATATGTGTGTATGCGTGTGTGTGTATGTGTGCAGAGCGGCATAATGCCGCTTGCTCGCATAAAGCAGCTTGTATTCCGTTAATCCGATAAGGCTCGGAGCGTTTGAAACGGGAAAGGGAGGGGTAAAAGGGAATAATTAGCCCAGATTTGGAATCGATTTAACAGAAACAATAATCTTATTTACATCCCCGTTTCCCGCTTTATAAATAATAAACCAGATCCCCCTCCCATCCAAATCCGAAAGTGTTGATCGCGCGAAAGCGTAATCGTCTTAAACCGACAAAGGGGCAAAAATTGGAGTGAATAAATTTTTCGTTTAATAGACGAATTTATCAAGCGAGGCAGAAAAAGAAAATAAAAGCGAAGCGAGAGAGAGAGAGAGAGAGAGAGGGAGAGAAACAGCTGATTAATAACCGCGTGAAAACAATGTGACATTGGACTATTTATATTTTTTCCGCCCTCGCGAAAGGGAGCGGCGGCGGCGGCAGTTCGAGGGCGCGAGTTGTTACACGATTGATGCACAGCTAACTCGCGAGATTTTTTTTTACGAGCATCGATCCGCACACGACTGCATGGGATTAACCGGTGGCCGCGCATCCCCTAGGGCCACAACCCCCTCCCCTCCCCTCCCCTCTCCCCGCGTAACGGCGCACGTTATTTCGGTCAAACGCAGCGATGCGCCCAGACAATTCGGGAAATTTTCATTTCGCGCTACCACCGCTTAATGGCCGGCGTTGCCCTCCATTAAACGGGCCGGGCCTAGTTTTCCAAATCATTTTTTACCGTCCGTCCTTCTTTTTTTCCTTCTTCTTTTTCTTCTTCCTTCTTTTTCCATCATTCGCCGATTTACGAATACGCGGGGCATAACGGCCCGAGCGGGCAAGCGGGGAGAATTTTCCATTAAAGGAATTTGCATATTAATGGAACCGAGCGGGGAGGGGGAGTGCAGTAAGCTGCGGGGACCACGATTGGCCCACGGTATTTCGATGAGGAGAAAGAAGGGAGGGATAGAGAGGAAAAAACGAGAGCGTGGTGTTAAAGCGAAGGGATAGCTCAGGTGTTTCATCTGATTTCTATTATATATCGATTTCTCTCAATGCGTATTGTTGTACTCGCAGCGAGAAATTTTTCGAATGAAAATTCGAAGGTATTATTGTGCCCGCTATTGGCTCTTTCGTGAATGGACGCGTGAAAGGTCGCGCGAAGGTCAACTTTGTTTTTTTAAACGGGATCATGTATTTTTTTTTAATATTTTTGCACCATCGATCGATGCAGCCCCGTACAAAAAGTATTAATCCACGTGCGATTTAAAAATTATTAATTTAGCGGATATATTTTCGGTAAATAAATTTTACGAAATTTTTTTTTTTTTTTTCATTTCCCTTACCTTTCGCAAATTTTATTTAAATTCATAGTGAAATATTTATCATTAAACAATAGGCATACACGAGTGTATGATAGACTTTTATATAGAGAATGTCGAGCTGCGTCGATTGATTGTATCAAAAAAAAAAAAAAAACACACACACACACACAATTGACCTTCACCATTCAACTTTTATTTTTAAACGATTTTTCAAACAAACGATCCACATTTATATATCCAGAAATCTGTAAAGAGATCGATCGAGGGAGATGGGGCAAAGATCAATGTATCCCGATCAATTGTCGACAATATCCTTTAGAAAATCGTTAATTCGGATTCGTTTCAGATGACAGACATCACATGCTGCCGACTGGGGAACTCCTGGTGTTCTCGGTTACCTCCTCCGACGCCCAGTCCAGTTATCGTTGCAGGACCGTGCACCGTGTCACCGGCGACACCGTGGAAAGTTCCTCGTACGCGAGGCTCGTGGTCACCGGTAAGTTTTCACGCTTACACGCGACTCGGCCCGCGTATCGTTCAACCACAGACGGTCGAACTTTCGCGTTCCCCGTTGAATATTTAATGGCGGCAAGTGCACGGTGAAATTTCGTTGACCAATCATCGTTATGTGTCCCGCGTATCCCAGATGGGTTTAAATCGCGCCAATAACCGCCCTCTCTCTTTCTCTCTCTCTCTCTCTAGTCGTTTATTTCTTACGCAAGCTTTCCAGGGCAGAAGGGAATTTGTAGCTATTTATGCAAATTGAATAGAGATACGAGAGAGAGAGAGAGAGAGAGGATTACGCAGGTTGGGGGAAACGTTGATTTGTTGGTTAAATAAGCGATGAATTATGAAGTGGTTTAAATTCGAACGTCCATTAAAATGTTAGTATCCATCGCCGAATAACGATCTAAATTATTTGAAATTTGAAGCGGAATTGGACTACCCCTGTGATCTTTCCGATAACGATAAATTTAATAACGTGGTCCCAAGTTGGCGTAGATTTTTAATAATGAATTAGAAGCTGGCCAATTACATTCGTTCGCTGGTAAACGAATTTAAAACATGGAATAATCATCGTGAAATACAAACATAGTGAGTACACGACTGTGCCACTTGACTCAGGATGAAGTTGACGCGAGTATACACGTGGAAACTTCAAAGTTGATAATTGCATAGGTACGAGAGTTCTCTCCTCTCTCGCGCACTTCACTTAATATCAGTAGTTAAATTTTAACAATAAATTTCGTTGTACGCAACGGTAACGAGTCTACCAATAAAACCTTACTTATTCCGTTTAATTAAATTCGCTCCTCAAAATTTGTCTCTTCTATTATCGTAATTGATTAATTAACATCGAAAGAGCCGCAACACAGTCGAACTCTCTCGTCCTCTTCCCGAATCGAAACAAAAAAGGAAACCCATCGAAATCTTCTCTCTCGCAAAGGGTACGTGAGCGACCATTCGTTCCAAGCATTTCTCATATCCAGAAGGGAAACGCATCCACTTAAACACGAGCGTTTATACAACGATCTCACGCATATCTTTTGCATGGTAAATCGCAAATGCATTGTTGCGCGTTTCCGCGGACAGGCGGCGGCCGCCGCTAACCGCGTGGTTGGTTAGTAGACCGTTGCGTACAGGCGGCCCGCTCTGGCTTTCTTCATGAATAAATCATGAAATGGGCGAAATGCTAATGGTCGAAACGTCCGCCATGGGTCGTCGGATGTTTCTCCACTCCGAGCGCGGAGCGAGTGGCTCGAGTCGTAAACAAAACGGCGCGGGGGCCGGCCAACATCGGTGAAAATACGAGCCGATTCCGAATGGCCGGCCCGGCTTTCACGCCCTCCTCATCCCCCCTGTTCTGCTCGTTACCCATAAATAGGTTATAACCTAATTACGGCCATTGTCGCCGTGCGGTCACCGTGCGACGTTTCCGCGTTCTGTTGTTTCAATTGTCGTTTTATTAGAAACGGATCCACCGTTGTTCGCGCGACTTGGTGGAACCCGTTTCCCGGATCACTGGGACGAAGGAACACCGCGGTGTTCTTGTGGAACGCGTCGCGAGTGATATATCTCAACGTTTTTATTCTCGTTTTGCTCGTTTTAACGTTTGTTGTAATCGTGGAAACGGTCGATCGAAGAATTCTCGATGATGTTTGTATTCTCGGAGAACGCGTGTCTCGTTTTATGGAAGTTTATTGCTGCGAAACGAAGAATCGAAACGCATCTGTTGGCGGGGAAATAATATCGTCGAGCTTATTCGAGCTTCCTTATCGTTATAATGATAGATATACGCGGGATTATTCGAGCGATCCGTAATCAACCCTTGTTAACGATCTAGTGCCGCGAACACGATGGTTCATCGGCACGTTTCATCCCAGCGGCCGGAGAGTTGCTGATTCATAAGACGTAAAATGGGTCGGACGTGGGGATGAACGGGTGGAACAATAGTTGGCTAATGATCAAAGTGCAAGCTGAGATGCTCCTTCGGCTGGAAACCGAGAAGATGCGGAATCGAATGCGAGATGAACATATTGTACGTTAGTTGTACGCCATCTTGTGTACAGCGAAATCACGCGAGTTTGTTGTTGGAAAGTACGAAAGTACGATCAATTTTTCGCGGAGATTTCGCTCGCCCGTCCACTTCGCCTGAAGAAGTATTGTGAAAAAAAAAAAAAAGAAAAAAGTAGAAGTCCTTTAATAATAAAATTCTACTTTCGCCGGGATTTACCGCTACCGTAGTGGTGAAGTCGTTTAAAGTTGAAAATTTTACATTCCTTGGCCCCGCGCAGCACGAGATGTATCATATTACAAAACAAGAAGTTAAACCTAAAAGGCGACGAGAAAGGCGGTGGTAACTTTCCTACTATTATGATCTAAGGTCGCCTCGATGTATCGCATGCAACGTACACGCACGGAGCGCATAGAAGTAGCTCCTTGGAGAGGAGTACGGGGAGGAGTCGAGACAAGGAGTCGAGGAGAGGAGAAATTAATTGATTTCGCCAAGGCAAGATTGCAAGGCAAAACGCAAGTTTACGAGGGGTTGGTTCCCATCACCGTCTCACGCCCCTCCATCACGGTAACCTGTCGTTTCCACTTTTTATCATAGCCACACCGCCATTATCCAGCCTGGCATTTTTTCGCAAGCTTTCACCCGCTACTTGCCATCCTCGTCACATTAAAGTTAGAATGCCACGCCGCGCAGCGTCGTATTTAGGAAAGCGCCGCCTTTTAAGCCGGCCTGTCCATTAAAAAACACAGCGTGATGGCCGGATAAACCGCGCGGAGTCGTCGTCGGTTTTTAAAACCGAATGGCATTCCTTGAAAATCTTGATTGCACGCTGCGTTTTAGGCTCCCAGCCTAATGGAGCACGGCCGATCCGCGGTCGGTATCCATCCCGTTTCCCTTCTCGATGTCCTTCCTCATCGGCCACGAGTGGATGATTCGAAACGAAATCGCCGGATGGAAAGAAATACGAGAACGTATTGGCTTCTTTTCCCACTCCTCGATGCAAAGTTTAATCACGTCACTCTCCCTCTGTTTAAACGTTTCCCTTTGCGCGTTTCTTCTTGAAACGGATATGTTTTTATGCGAGGAATGCACTGTTTCGGGGACTGTTTCGTTGGAATTGGTAGTAGCCAATAAGAGGAACGTTATTGTTGTTAATTCGCGTTAACAGAGAAAGAAGTTACGGAAAACCTGTTTCTTTCCAATAGACTTTTTAATCGAACGATCGAACGATCGAAAGGAAACATTTTTACCATTTATAGGGGATAAGATAGAGGCTAACTCTTGGAATCTTGGAAACGTTGATTTCTCACAAAACGCAATCGGAGCGAATGTTGTATACACAGCGGACAATCTCGTTAGGCAAATTTCAAAGTTTTATGCGGACCGTCGTCGGCTTTCGATGCTCACGATCAATTATTGATTATTCTCTGGTCGCGGTTTAATTCGATCTCGCGACCACTTTGCCAGGGTAGGGGGTGGAAAAAGTTGGAGACAACTCGATCGAGTTTAAACTAATTCGAGCATTATCGAATTAGTTGCGATAGATCGAACAGTTTTCCATCCCTCCTCGACGGCAGTTTACCATCTTCCCTTTTATCCTCGAGTGCGAGATCCTTCGAAGCCGCGGTTTTTGCCGCGGCAAGAAGAAGCTTCGATAGTCAGGAGCCGGATTTCCCCGAGCGAGAAGAAAAGCGGTGGATACTTTCTCGGTGGAAAATCCAAAGCGGGGATAACTCACGCTCCGGAACGCTTAGCCGGGGTGGCGAGGAAGAACAGCCGCCAAAAAGTTTGTTTTATTCACGATTTACGGACGGGGGAGGGCCGCGCGAGAGTCATAAAAAGCTGGGCTGCTGGAATGAAACTCGTTCCGGGAGATCGGTTGTCGCGCAATCATTGTTCCGTGAGAGAGGGAAGAGAGAAAAGGACGATCGCGCTATAAAATTTCGATAGTCAAACGACTCGTACCTTTCCTTCCTTTCCGCGTTTAATCTTCAAATTCTCTCGGTTTGTCTCTTATTCGTTACGTAAGATGAAGAAACACGAGCACTGCGTGTAAATTATCCACGAAATTACGCGACATAAGAAGAGAGAGAGAGAAAGAGAGAGAAACGATCGCGCTATAAAATTTCGATAGTCAAACGACTCGTATCTTTCTTTCCTTTCCGCGTTTAATCTTCGAATTCCCCCGGTTTGTCTCTTATTCGTTACGTAAGATGAAGAAACACGAGCACCGCGTGTAAATTATCCACGAAATTACGCGACACCACGTAAGAAGAGAGAGAGGGAGAAGTTGGTGAGCCGCGGAGGTTGGCGGTTATCGGGATGATGAACGCGCGGCCTCGTTGGAAATTGTAAATGTAGATTTATAGCAGATTTGTTGCGAGAAATTCGTTATTTCTGCGGAATAAGGAATCGTGAAGGGGGTAAAAAAAAAAAAAAAAGAAGAAGAAAAAAAGAAACAAAGAGGAGAAGGAGTCGGTGGATTTAGCACACGTTTGCTGTATTACTTCCAAGTACTTTAAAGACTCTCCTTTTGGTTGGCAGCTCGCGGAAAAATGTTCAAGTTTGGGGGGGGGGGGGAGGGGTAAATCCATGGAGCGAGGCGAGCAGTTCCTTCGCGGCGCGCTTTTACGATACCCCCGTGGCTTTTTTGCCGGTCAATGAGGAGGGGTGGGCGAAGAGTGAAGAGGGGTGGAAAAGATAAAGAAGAGAGGGTTGGGAAACGGAAGGTTGTGGAGGAAGAAGAAGTGGAAGTAGAAGAAGACGACGCGACGGAGGAAGGGGGGAGGGGGATACGACGGGACTGGATATCGCCCCTATTGGAGACTCGACGAAAACGCAAAGTACAATCCACAGAGGCAGGATGCAGCCAGTCTGCGGAGCAACGTCGGCAAGAAACAATGCAGCCATCACGGCTCCAATCCCTTCGCTCGCTACCCCGCAATCTTATCGAGCCCAACCTACTTGTGTATCTCTCTTTT